GTTTCCTGTGGAATCTCTCTAATAGTTCCATATTCTAAAAGCTATTTTAAAATCAGGTCTTCTTGAATAAGAGAATGAGAAGTTGCTGGTGTTTGTTTTAATACATGAAACAACATTCAACAGATTGTAGAAACACTTGTAGTCCATTACTTGTATCTTCTCCATCATGGTTTCTTCCTTCAATGTAGCAGCCATACATTAAGGCAGACTACTAATTAAAAATTGATTAATGTAGACTAATTAATGCATGTTCTTCTGAAAACTGAATTTTCTATTTTTCACAGAAAAGAGCACTTTTTTTTCTGAATGACAGATAGCAACTACCTAAGATAAACATCAAAAATATTCTTCTCTTTTATCCATACTTAGGCAAAATCATGCTTCAAAAGACACACTCATTAAATTATTATCCACTCAATCCAACATGCTTGGCTACAGCAAGAAATTTCGCAGTAAAATGGGTGATCTTTATTTTCCCCAGAGAGATACATTTTTTGCACTTTGCTCGTGACTGTGTTGCTATATGTAAAAGCTACTTCACAACGCTTGTTCCATAGGAGAAGAGTTCCTGTGACATTCAGGAGTCCACTGGCTAAACTGGCTGGTTCAGCAATGCAAAGCTGGATAACTGACACACAAAGTCAAACACACTGTCCTTACGAGACATTACGAGATGAGCTGAGACAAACACTGAGCTCAGAAGGCAGCTCTGCTCCTTAACCCTACCAGCCTGTATAGGAAGGTCTCAGCTCTTGTTCAGAGCAGCCATCTCCTTTGCTTTCTCCAACCCTAACAGTTAGGTGGATCCTGGTACAGTACTGTTCACATTTGTGAGCTTCATCTTTTCTGTCACCACACTCACTTTACATGACTTCATCATCACCAAGAGTTTTCATATTTAAAAAAAAAAAAAAACAGGCTGTATTTACAGCATTCCCTGGACACTGCCATATAAAAAAAGAGAAGGAAGACATAGCTAATATTTTCACAACAAACAGTGGCAACTTCAAAAGTCATCAGAAACACAGTGATAAACATTATCTTACTCTGTTTAAAATTATAACAGCCATCAAGAGAGCATTTCATCAAATGATTTCTCTAGTATGTTGTAGGTAAAAAGTATATTTAACTGAAAATCGGCAATGATGGGCAATGATGTTCCACTGAGCATAGTCTATGTAGTATTATAACCTTGGTTTGAGTCAGCCTCTCCAGAATATACAGTAAGACTGACTGACAATCTCCATCATCTTCTAAAAAAAGAGACATCCCCCTGCACCCAAACAGCACTTATTATTTCATTTTTGGTGGGATATTCATTAATTCTCTCTAGAAGCTTGCTCAGTGTTAGTTCCATAGATGGGAAGTACTCAGATACTTTGAGAAAGAATAAGCAGTTCCAAACACACTCCAGTGAAACAGATGGGACACACAGTAGGCACCTTCAAGTTCGGACTTCAAGAACCACAATATAGGTGCCAGTGCTCCCTCTACAATCAATCCAGATCTGCCTACCATATCCAAAAGGAGCCTAGATAGCTCTCCAATTGATCCTATGCAGGAAACGACATACGGTGGTGAGCTGAACCATTCTCTTTGTTCACTGACCTAAAGTCACATCCCTCAATCTGGAACATAAATGTCATTCCTTGACTGTTAAACACATATTCCAGAGAACTTAAAAGACAAACAACCAAACTGAAAGTTTTTGAAATCTGAACACATCTGCCTAATTCACCTACCCCGATAAAATAGAACCAAGAAAGCAGAGCTAAAGGTAACTACACTTCAGGCACCTTTTTATTTGATGGTAGTCATGCCAAATCTTTTAGTTTGTCAGAAGTTAAGCTTTGCATACAAGAACTACACTTTTTTGATTTAATGAAGTACACTGAAAATTATTTCTTTAATTACACTGAAAATTATTTACTTCTGAAAGTAGGAAGGTACAGGAGCCCAATATTCCCTTGATGATAATCTATGCAAAGAAAGTTTAACATTAAAACAACAAAAAGGCTAACTTCTCTGTCTTCAGGATCCTTTATTTAGATAAAGCTTACTGATCTCCAGTCTTGTCTCAGATATCTCAAACAACAAACACTTCAGTCTCCCTAGAGAGTTTTACAAAGATGTAAAAATAGTACCAGAGAAGAATCTTGTCAAGCAATTCTTAAAAATGAGAGTAGCTCAAAGAAGGAAGTTAATGTACATCCGGTCAACTTGTAAATTAAAAATTACTGTGGTGAATTCCTGGTGGATTTGATGACTCATTTGGTGAACAATTTACCTTTTAATCTCCTTAACTCCTTAGAGGATTTTAAAATCAAATCAATCACACTAAAACACTGCTACCTGATCATTAGTTGATCGTCAGAAAACACAGCTGAACTTTAACTCCCTCAACAGACCAAATATCAGAATTTTTCCTACCTTATTTTCTGATGCTACTTTCACAACTTCCACAAGTATAGCAAATCTGGTTTATATCTTTGTCATAGTAATGTGAGAATTGGACAAAAATCATAACTTCCAACCTATAAGAGTTGGAGTCTTTCTAAGCAGCATAAGTACTGAAGAGTCTCCAAAACCTTCCTGAATAGTCTTCACTTTGATCTGGGCAAGCCCTAAAGCTTTGCAGCTCTGTGTACCTGAAGCTGAATTTCACCCAGAACTCAGACTAGAATCTGTTTTTAAATCAGAATATGACAGGAATTTTTATTTAAAACATTTACTATGAAGTATGAACTTACAGAAGTTAGATAAACATTTTCCTGAACTTGTTTGATGAACTTTTGCCTTCTATTCAGCCACCCTTTCTTTCTTTGCCCTCTCCAAAGAGAGGGGACATCAATATTTCCCCCCCTACAATCAGCTACTCTTTACATCACCTTTTAGTCTCCCCACTCAGGTGTGAAAGGTGTTCTTAACACCAAAACATCAAGAGATACTTACTAAGAATAAACCTCATCTTCACTAAGCAAGTAAAGCTATCTTCTTTTCATCATTATTCTTCTGTATTCTTGCAGGTATTGAATTAAGTAATTTACGTTTTCCTCTTCTACATATAAAATATTGCAACACTATTTTTATCATCTGAGTTAAGTACACATAAATAGGAAAATAAAAATAAATATTGCTTATTTCACCTTTTTGTCTGAAACTAGAGTTTATGAAAGATCCTGGACTCGCCTGCAGTTCTAGGAACAAGGAACTTTCTAGCCTTAAATGCCAACTCTTTCCTAAAATCTTCATATCTGTGCCACTTCAAATGCAACTACAGTTCACACTACAAATTACACCTGTTTCCAAAGACATAAATGAGGAAGTGTTCACTCCCAACATGTAGAGAATTCAGTAATTTGTTGGGTACTTTCTAGTAGGTATAAGATGATCCTGACTAAAATCCTTTCTATTTTCAGTCACAATATACCAGTAATTTATATGAGAAGCTAGTATTAAGCATTGACTTAAGACAAGTTATATACCAAAATACAACATTTTTCTGAAAGGCATAGCACACAATTTGCCAAAGTTTTCTGCCCCCTCAGCCCTAAATTTTAGCAATTCTAAAATTAACTGTCAGAGACTAGAATTAAAGTTTTGTCCAAGATTTTTCTGTGATGCTACAGCTACATGAAAACCTAACCAAGTGAAATATGAGAGACCCCTTGTCTCAGTCAAAAAAGGACACAAAAGAAGAGGAAAATGCTTTAGTTAGAAATAAGAAGTTACCAGCACAAACAAATCCAAGCACATTTGGAGATTGTAATTAAAATGCAAATCAAAGGCCTCACATTTTAGGATTAAGTTGTCATTTCATTTGATGCAATGAAGATAACTAGCAGCAAGGCACCTTTCTGGATAAGTCTGCCCCAAAATATGGTATTACCAATTTATTTTTTTACCTATTATGTCAAAAACTATTAAGTGCTAAATATCTTTTCACATGCCAAATGGGTTTATATGCAACTTTTAACTTCAATATTTTCATACTTCAAAAAGCAAGAGCTAAGCTTTTCACTGCACTGACTGTTCTGTCTAGACAGTCAATGTATCATCATTTAAAAATTTTTAATCCAGTTTCAGAAGTTTACACTGAAAAGTATGTATTAGCAAAAGGCACTATAGAAAAGCTTGTACTATACATAGAATTTACTAGCTCGGACAGCTTGCAAAAAGACTTTTACAAAGAGGAGTAATTTTAGTCTAATTAAAGGAATACCCACGACTGGCTGATAAGCTACATCATATATCTAGTTTTTCCAGCTACAAAACCCTGCTCTTTCCTAGTCATGAATGGATTAGAATATCCAGAGTTTTACTGCTTGTAGCAAAGACAACAGCATCTGAATAGACTGACCATTATTATATTTCCTATACATTTTAGGAACATGTTTAAGTTTGACAGCTTATTTTTACCACACCCTACTGACAAGCTTGGAACAAAGAACTACGTTTGAAATGACAGTTCCAAAGTCACAATTTAGCCAAAACTGTGGGATTTTAGAAGTGCAAATACTAAACACTAAAGTTTCAGCTAAAGACTGAAATGAGCAAAAAAGTCTTTGTGGTAAATACTAACATATTAATGAATTCATGCAAATAAAACTGTATGTAAAACAACAGCCAGCTGTGGAATATTTTAAAATCATGACTTCTGGTGACATCATAAACCATAAGCTGAAAGAATCCTGACACACTTGCATTTAAGGTAAGAAAATAAAGTTATTGGTTATTTTTTGATTTTTCAAGAACTTCAGTGCATTCTGCACCAATCCAACTTCAAGTCTTTTGAGATCAACTGCTTACCAAAGTGAAGTTTCATACATACCAAGCATCATCAAGTGATGATTCACATATGACAAAATAGCACATTAAGGAGAAAAATGTCCAACAGTTATTAGTAAGTTACAAGAAAATCTATAGAAAAACACTTAGATACTCTATTAGAAATTCAATGTAGAAGAATTCATTAAAACCAAATAAATACTAAATTTTACCTTTTCTGGATTGTAATATAAAGATTTCAAAGTGGTAAACAAGGGCGGGCAGCCTTTACTGAAGTTAACCCTCAGGAACTTATCCATTAGTTCTCTAAATTTTTCACCTAGAAACAAAAGTGTATTTGGTTATATGTCAGTGATTGCAAGTGTTATATAAAGATAAGTGCTAATTGCTGTGCAACTCTGGATAATAGAGTAAATGAGAAACTGCAGTTAGGAGTTTTCATCTTTCTTGGGTTTTAAGATTAAGATGTAAATATGCTCTGGATAAAAAAATATCGGCATAAAATGCTTAAGTGGCTAGTGTTTAGGAGACTGCTGATGAAGACAGGGTGACAGTCCTCAAAACTATAAAATCTATTAAAAAGAGAAACTATTCAGTACTGGCTACAGAGGATGTAGCAAGGGCAATTTAAACACTGGAAAAAAAATTAGCATGGTAAGAATAAGCACTGGAATGGATTACCTCGGACATCTCATAAAAGCTCCATCATTGGAAATTTTTTTTTATGATTAATTTAGACAAATGTGTGTAAGGAATAGTGCAGATATAAATTATCCTGCTTAGAGGAAGAAGGATGGATGAAATGAACCCTCTACCTCTCTTCTAGTCCTACTTTTTATGAGTGACTTCTGATGACTGAGCTTGAAATGACTGTTTCTGGAATCAGAAATAGAACAGAAGACTGGGTTTCAGAAGGACAAGCATTGTATCAGAATCATCTTTATCAAAATATACCAAAAATCTGATTTATGTTTTCATATAAAATTATAGTACTTGTCACCTTTCTGAGAAATACTGTTTAAAAAAAACAAAAATGTAAGCAAAAAAGGAGGACTTTAAAGAGAAGATATCCAGCCAGGAAAACAGCTGGCTTTCATGTTTTTATTCCTATGATCAAAATACAAAGAAAAGTGGTTGCTTTAAGTTGCTTCAATTTTGGTTTTGTTGGGATTTCTTTTTAATTGGCTTTGATTGCTTTACATAGGGATGAAGCTGCTGCACTTCACTGCCTACTCTGTTGTGGATTTTTCAAAGTCTTTAAACAAGTAGTACACTTCACATAATGCTAACATACACACAAAACTATTCATTATCATCAGCACTCTTACTGAGACTGATAAAAGCAGCTCATGTTCTCACCTTGCTGTACCAAAACTGCTGCTCATAGAAACTCCTACTACCTGTGGATGGGGATCCATAACTGGACTGTAAGTGCATGCTTTATTACAGATGATGTAATTAAAATGTTTTCTCACACTACAAGAAATTCCCCTATACAACAAAATAAATCTCAGTTCCTCAACTTCTTCTGCTGAATTACTCTAATTTATATTCTTGAGGGAAAAACCATAACTCGGAATTTTGGAAAGCAAAATTCAAGTTTCCATTAAGAACATACTTATTTAAAGAAAGCAGAACAGCTCAAAACAGTCTGAAAAAATGCAAAACAAACTGCTAAACACCCATCTATGACATGAAGTTAAGCTCAAAATTCAGTCTGTGAGGCAAAGAACAAACCTGCCCACAGGAACTGTGAACCTAGAGCAGCATAAACAGATCTGGAACTGGACTGCCAGACTCCAACCCCCTACCCTTAGTCTGTCTGAAAATTGATTTTAACAGCCTTCCTCTATAAAGGTGGTTTCCAGCTACATCAAGGAGCTTATTTAATACAAATTTGTATTAAATACAAGGTTATTATGATACAACACATGGCAAGGTCTAACCTTTTAATACAAGCTTGCACTTTAGAGTATTTTAAGCATATTCTGAATTTAGTGTTGGTTACAAGCAACTAGTCTGTGACCACACTGGAAGAGCAACCTCATTTAACCAAAAAATCTTGAAATTTGCAAATACGATTCTGCAAACAAATTTCTTTCTACACGTTCACATTCTCACTATTAACTTTTCCCAACAGGAATTTTTGTCTGCTGGATTTATAAACAAGAAATCATCTACTAAATAGATTAGTTTCTAAGGGATCAAAACCAGTCTTATACATCCACGAAGCTTCACACATTTAACACAAACAGAAGTTTTAATTTAGAAAAATTCTTATTTGTTATGACACTGCAGAAAGGAGCCTACTGAAACATTTTTTTTCTTGACTGATCTATTAATGATTTTTGTTTTCATTTATACTATTTGTACAGCAGGAACAACTAATCCTTATTAACAAACATGTTTCTATTTAAATGAACATTAGCTATGAAACTACACAGTCAGATATAAGGCCACCTAGTGCAGAACATGAAGTGAAATGAAGCCAACAGCAAAAAACACTATTAATAAAGACAGGGAAAAGCATTTTTTAAATTATCTCCTTGTCTGCTATGTGGTACTGTAATAACTTTTATGATAGAAGTAATAATTACTTGTAATGTAGTTTTTCAAGCCTTGTTGAATTGCCTTAAAATCTGGCCCTGTATCTTCAAAGAAACTGAAGTAACTGGGATTAAACAAGGCACAAGTGTTCACTTCAGTGCTAAATCTCTTGGGAAGCAGTTAAAATTTTCTGATTTTACACAGGAAGGCTGTATGCACATTCAGACTCCTGACCAACAACAGAAAACTTGACTAGCCACACTTTCTAGCATTTAAAGGTACAACAAATGCAGTGCTCAGTAAAGGACCTGACTAAAAAATAACCTCATGAAATCAACAGCATGAGTAGATATGTTGGGAATTTGCAGCTGAACTTAAAAATTCCATGACACCTAATATCTACCTTATGTACCTTTATTTCTTGTATTTCTTATGTACTTTATATTTCTTACCAGAAGTTTTCTACTGGAGTTACAGCAGCTAAACAGCTACATACTAAGTGCATAATTTTACGGAATTTACCATTTCGTGTAGCCTCCTTCCTTCTGTTTTGGAAGGTCGTAGCTTTCTGTTTAAAAAAGCATATCCATCCTCCACAACTGAGCATATTTGTGCATTGTATTTCAAAACAACTTTTGAAAGGAGAGAGCCACTAAAAGAACTTAACTATAAAATAAAAAATGAAATAATTTATGCTATGTAACACTGCAGACCTGCTTTTTGTTCCTACTCTTATTAAAATACCAGTACAAAGTTAGCTTATCTTGTACAGTAAAGTTCTAATGGTTCTACAAAAGTATTACACACCCAACGAGCTATTCACTGTCATTATAGAATTGGTATTTTCTTTACAGCAGAAAAAAAATGGTATGAAATTTATCTGTCCTATGCGATAGTGAATGTTACATGCATCATTTACACCTGGTTTCAGTGTTATTAGTTAGCTTATATGTATATATTTTAAAGATATAGGGATATTAAAGGTATGGGTACATATGAAAATATAGGTATATTAAAATATATATATTAAAGATAAAGATATCCTATCCCTTTAATTCAAGTGTACTGTACCCCCTGCCTTTATCTTGTGATTAACTTTGCATGATGCAGAAAAATTAGGTACAAGAATTCCTACAGTCTGTATAGCATTCTGTACTGTAGTTTTATCAATACAAACATTACATAGTTTGTATCACCATATTAGAGCACATTAACTCTATCAACTCCTAAACCAAATATTTTCATCTGTTCCAGGAGAAATGGTATGCCTCATCTGTGTACAGGTAGAAATAGGTATTAAATGCACATTCAACAGCCTGATGAAAACTTAAGAAGAAAGAAAAACTATTACAGAACAGATATGCAACTTGTTACCTGAAACAAAGTTTAAAGGTAATCTTCTAGGTGAAACTGCTCTGGGATGTCTTTTACTAACTTCTTCATAAATCTGAAGCCTCTCTTCTAAAGTGCCTATTATCAGTAAATATAATAGATATAAGTAACAGAGGTAAAAATCTATTCTTCCAAATGTTTTTAAATCTTGTGAACTACTTTAGCTAGACTTCTTACACAGTTTGAATCTGGAACAATTTATACATTTCAATTTATTTTTTTTCCTGTTAATCACAAACATTACTGTGTAAAACTGCTGAAAACACGCTGTTTGTACAGTATGCAAGTACCAGCATTAAGCACTCTAAGGATAAACTGCAAACAGGATAATTACCTGGTACATTCAATCATACAGCACTAGAGCTTGGTTGCTTTCAGCTACATGCTGTGCAGACCCATTCACACAATAGTCTGACATTTGTAGCTTCAATTAAACTGCTTTTTCATTGTGCATCCATTTCAGACATACTTAGAGCATTCAGACATATGTATTGCATTTCTAAATCACAGGTATTGAAGTAGCGTACTATACAAGCATGCCTTTATTATACTCTGGCGGCACCAGAAACAGGGCACAATACTGCCAGTCTAAGTACTGTGCAGCAGAACTCTATACCTTCACGTGTAACAAGAATAAAGCTACTTAAAAAGATTTTCTTCCCACTCCTCCCCTTTCCCCCATAATATGCTTTGGAGCTCCAATGTGGTCAGAACTTAAATAAAACTAATCTGTTGCTTTGAAATGCCATTTTCATAGTTAAAATCAATTTTGCTTAAATAATACTAAATTCATCAAGAATTTAAATAAATCAGAATGTACAGATCAAGACTATAACACAACATATAATTAATGTATCTGTTTTATTTTTGTAAAAAGAAAAAATTTATCTTGTCACTGAGCTCAGATGTTGGGGAAGAGGGGGGAATATGTTACCCAGTGGCTCCAAGATATGTATAGTTCTAAAAGTTATACTTAAGTAATGTTTGGATTGGAACTAAAGCATATAAAAGCCCTAGTTGAAGTCACAAGTTGGAGCTCCAGAACTTACCATGGGGGAGGATATAGTCCTAAGACCACCTAAAAAATAAAGTAGCATTATTAGTTTTATAAATTAGTACAGTTTTAATCTACATAGGATTTTAATATGCCAAATAAACTAATGGATTGTTTCTTTGTTAAGAACTACACATTTTTATCAACACATTTCTTATAGCCATCAGAATAATGTTGGGTAATTTATTTTTCTGAAACAACCACCATGATGTTCACCTCCACGGAGACACCAAGAAAACCATCCAAAGGGCAACACTCTGCAGACCTAACAAATGCAGTAGTTTATTTCCCCATCACAAGCTCTATTCTCAGACCTTATGAAACTCAGCTGTAAAAACCTTCTAGAAGAAAGCTGGTTGAAAAGTATAATGCAGCTATCATTTCTATGAACAATGTCCTTGTGGGCTTATGATTTATGATGTCATCAGAATAACTCCAATACAGCTTCCATGAATTAGTGAACAGTGAAATACAAGGAAACCATTCCTATGCAAAAGTAAGCACTTGGGAAAGTTACCACTGCAAAACACTCTAATTTGTTGCAATATTTTAATTAAAAAAAATATATTGTCTATTTTCCTGGAAAGACAGAACAACAGTAATGTGAACTGGCAATGGAATAACAGATTTTATCACATTTATCACTTTCCCTCCAAAGAACAGTCAGCTTTGAAATTTTTTTTTTTCCAGGTGGCTTATCTTTAAAAGGCCATCTGGAAGGGATACTTGAGTATTCCTCTACATGCCCATAGCAAGAAGTACCACCTAAGCAAGTTTCAGAATGACAGCTTTGTGTTGTAGTGTACAATAGTAGTCTGACAATCAGCTACTAGACAGGAATGAAATGGCAATTTGGTTTCCAAGTCTGTGTGGCAAGGAAATGTTCTTTGTGTAAACACACTAGCAAATGCCACCTATAGCTCCAAGAATAGAAAGACTTGCTGCTGGTATTTTTCATGCATAGAAGTATTTCAGCAAACATTTTAAAAATGGATAAACACAACTAGATCATATTCAGAATTAGAAAGTATGTAATCTTCTGGCAAGTAAAGCTTTTCAATCTAAAACAGTAGCATATGAAAGAAATTTTATATATAACCTATGTGACATGTATTTTCAATGTATCTGTGTATTTTAACTTACTAGGTTGTAGGGCCTTTTCCAAGCCTTCATAATAATACCAGTTTTCTGCATTGCGCTCAATTAACTCTCTGTATACTTCACCAGCTTCTTTCAGCCTTCCCAACTTCAGTAACATCTCTCCTAAAAAAAAGAACGCAGCAAAGAACTGTGATTACATAAGAAAACACTGATGGTTTGGAAGTAAAGTCTACAAACTTAGATACATAAAATTTGGCTTAATCATATGTAGACACCTAAAAAGAGGCTCTTTTTTCAAAGACTTTTACTGTGTTTTACAAGTGCTGCCTGAAGCTAGCCCACACATACTACACCTCTATTCTTCACACCAACTAACCACTTTCTAATCAGTTAAATCACACTGGTTTGCTTCTAAGTAAATTGTTTTACCAGGTCTGGCTTGCACAGAATTCAATTTTCTTCACAGCAGCCTGTACAGCATCTGTGACTAAATGATGGTAACACAGATGTTTTTGCTACTGCTAAGCAGTACTTGCAGAGCATCAAGTCTTTGTCTTTTTACCCCACCTAGCAAGCAGGCCAGGGTGGACAATGAACTGGGAGCAGACACAGCCTGGACAGCTGAACCAAACTGGCCAAAGGGATATTTCAGGCTATATGGTGCTATGCTTAGTAATAAAAACTGAGGGAAAGGAGTGTTTGGGCAGGTGGCCATTGCTTGGAGACTAGCTGAACATCACTCTGCTTATGGGAAGTGGTGAGCAACTGCCCCTGTACTTGGGGTCTTGATCCACTCGGGGATCTGTTTGCTTGGGTTTTTCTTTTGTTTTGGGACTTTCTTGCTGGCCAAAGTCAACCCACCTCAACTGTGCAAGCAAAGAGCAGTTGTTGAATATGCCCTCTCACACTGTAATTGCGCATATTCAGAACCCACAAAAAAAAAAAACAAACCTGGGATTTTTAACCAAAAAAGTCATCCTCAGCATTAATGTAGGGCAGTAAAAGTGCAGGAGAAAGCTTAAGAAGGAAATAAGAATTTGATATTTCGGTCAAAAAAATATTTTTTTAATCTGTGTTTGTATTACAAACACTATTCTTTATGAGATTAAAACTGGGTTATACTAGCTCTGATTTATGGAAAGCTACTCCAGTATACACCAGTGTAGTAAACACTGAGATCTCCCCTGTTGCTGTGTCAATCCAAGATAAACTACCTGCATCCACTATCCACTTTGGCAGGGCAAGTTACTTGAGCACAGAATTTTAAGTCTAGCGTTACCAGTTTCCCCTATAGTAACTGTTTCAAATCCATTAAAGATGTCACATGTTTTTTCTTCTACTGCTTTATCCTATCTGAAAGCCAGTAGCAAAAGTTTAGAACAGAAGTGGCTCAGGGAAAAAGGAATACTTACCTTTGATTTCTTCTACTATTAATTTATCACATATTTGCTTTTCGTATGTCTCTATATGTTCTAAAGACTCCTGAAATAGATCTGCCTCTCTCATCACTTGATTTTGATATAAAATCAGTTCACTATATTCATAATCTATTTTATTAGGAGGAATCTGGGGGGGAAAAAAGCAACACGTTAGTCAACATTTTCCTGCACCTCAACTGTATGCAATATTACAGAACAAGATTCAGGCTACAGAATATATCAGGCTTATTTTTATACTCATCCAAACATTCAAAATGCAAAACTCCCACTACTCACAATCAGATTAATTCAAGGATATCTCTTGTTACAGAATAGTTTTTAAAAAATTCTCTATTTCCTCTCTTTGACACCCTGGCACAATAATTAAAAGCAGAACCCTTGCCTCCTCCCATACAATTCAATAAAATTTGCAAAGATCTTGGTAGTCTTTTAAAGAAAATGAAGGACTCATGTACTCTACAATTTTGACCCAGAGTTCAGTAGCAGATTGCTGGGATATCACAATACTCATTTTCAGCAGACCAAAAATTCTGGATCAAACTATTTCCAAGAGCAATAAACCACCCAAATACTAGCCATAGCTCAACAACTAGAATTTTACAGACAGGACACTTACACCATTTCTCTCTAACCAAGTGTTCTCTGTACTACACTTCAGTCCCCCAAAGTACAGCGCACAAGCATGCAAAGAGACGTTTTCAAACGGTTGATTTGAGATCTGCTGCCAGCTGCACACCTAGGACTTTATCTACAGTTACAGTAAAACCAGTGGCTCATCCACCTTCCAGCAACACATCACTGAAACAGGATGGCATTCAAAAATACTCTTTTCTAGGAACAGCTCCCTAAGGTTTGTTTAGGCAATGAGAAGTCTTGCCAGAGTTATAGTGATTTTCTTGTACTAAACGCTCTTCACGAACATGCACAGAAGCTACTTCAGTTGCAAGTAAATGACAAGAATTTCTGAGATGAAATGCAGAATTCTGCAATGCCCAGCAAACCTGTACAAGAGTCTAGTATGTGAAATATAGTCCCCCAACAGAAATAGTAGGAGAGACTGTTATAGCCCAACATGATTTTTTAATAATAAAGTAGACGTGTCCTCCACATGGAGGACAGGGAGCTAATCCCAGGTAGTCAGCACATATTTACTAGGGGCAAGTCCTGCCTGACCAACCTAGTGGCCTTCTACAATGAAGTGACTGCATCAGTTGACAAGGGAAGACCTATGGATGTCATGTATCCGGATTTCTGCAAGGCCTTTGTCACGGTCCCCCACAACATCCTAATCTTTAAATTGGGGAATTACGGGTTCAATGGGTGGACTGTTCAGTGGATAATGAACTGGCTGGATGGTCACGTCCAGAGAGTGATGGTCAATGGCTCAATGTCCAGATGGAGGAAGGTGACGAGCAGTGTCCCTCAGGGTTCTGTGCTGGGACCAGTGCTGTTTAATATCTTCATTAATTATATTGACAGCGGCAGTGAGTGCACCCTCAACAAGTCTGCAGATGACACCAAGCTGGGAGGTACAGTTGACATGCCAGAGGGACAGGAGGCCATCCAGAGGGACCTCGATAGGCTGGAGAAGTGGGCACAGATGAACCTTATGAGGTTCAACAAGGCCAAGTGCAGGGTCCTGCACCTGGGCCGGGGTAACCAGCACTATCAGTACAGGCTGGGAGAGGATATACTACAGAGCAGTCCTGTGGAAAGGGACTTGGGAGTGCTGGTGGATGAAAAATTGGACAATGTGCAGTCACAGCCCAGAAGGCAAATCACATCCTGGGCTGTATCAAAAGCAGCATGGCCAGCAGATGGAGAGAGGTGATCCTGCTGCTCTGCTCTGGTGAGACCTCACCTGGAGTCCTGTGTCCAGCTCTGGAGCCCCCAGCACAAGAAGGATGTAGACATATTGGAGCAAGTCCAGAGGTGAGCCACCAAAATGATCAAGGGATTGGAGCACCTCTTCTATGAAGATGACAGGATGAGGGAGTTGGGGCTGTTCAGCCTGGAGAAGACGAGGCTCTGGGGGCACCTTATAGTAACCTTCCAGTACCTGAAAGGGCCTACACGAAGGTGAGGGAAGGTCTATTCAAAAGGGTTTGTAATTACAGGGCAACGAGTAACGGTTTTAAACTAGGAAAGGATAGATTGAGAGTGGATATTATAAAAAAAATTCTTTACTGTAAGAATGATAGATCATTAGAATGGGTTGCCCAGAAACGTAGTCCAACCTCTCAACCCCAAAGTCATTCAAGGTCAGCCTTGATAGGGCCCTGGGTGACCTAGGCAGAGATGTTCCTGCTTGTGTAGGGAGGTTGGACCAGATGACCTCTAGAGGTCCCTCCCAGCCTAAAACAGCCTATGATTCCATGATAAGAAGCAGCTGAGCTTGATAAACGTTAATAGTCTTATTTCCTGTGACACTACTTTTGTTTCTTCCTGAACAAGCAACACTCTGAATTCCCAGTGTTCACCCAATGGTTTTCTACTACTATTCTGCTCCTCGAGTAAAGCTTTTTCTTTCTTCTTTAAAGAGCCAAATAATTTAATAAACAAAAGCAACCCCAAACATTAAACTAACTGAAATCAGCTTGTGCTAAACCACTACTTCCAGCCCTTCCCTAAGCACATACCCATTTTATAAAATTCAACATTTCTCTTTAGATACTCTTTGTATTTGAGGCAGCTTTTATAGTAAGTGAAATTTTAGAAGGAAGATTTCCTTTTAGATAGAAGTGTTCTGACAATATAAAATATTGTGTAAGTGTAGATGAACATCAGTTTGGGGGCTGAAAATAATAGCATTCAAATATTTTTTAGTAACTGCTAACATATTATAACCAATTATGGCTAACAGAACAAGACTAGACCTTGTGTCAGCAGAGAGCATGAAATCCTACCTGCTTGTACTTTATCTGCAGCTCCATTTCTACTTACACCTTTGCTCAAATTTATCCCTCTTAAACATCAGAAGTCAATACTAAAAACATTGTTACCTGGAAAGCATTTTAACCGCTTCAGAGAACTGACACATGCAACAGGGCTGAAGCATTTAAGTATGTCTCTCTGCTTGTCCATATTGAAATACCACAGAACTCACACTGCAGAGCACTGTCATGGTTACAGGGGCTGGGACCAGTTTATCCTTATGTGGGTAGAAACAAAACTGTATATTCTATACTCTCTATGTCAGTGCTCATGGGCTGTTAAGAAAATCATGGGTAGCAGCTGCCCAGGACAGACCTCACACCCCAGGCTATAACAGATAAGGAAAGAGGTTCAAGGTCAGGGGAGATGTTAACACCTTCCCACCCAGCAGGAGGAGTCCTCCCTGTTAATGGGCCCATCCACGCCTCGCCCCATGACTCATACAGAGCTCCCCCCAGGAGCTATTTCTGTTTAACGGACCATCAAGGACCCACTGCATGACGCATAGACTGATATCAACCCATTGTGAGATGCTCCACCCAGGGGGAGGAGCCAAGTGCTCCCACCTGGATATAAACTGGGGTTCAGTACAGCACAGGGGGCCTTACCCACTGGATTTCCAGAGGACAAGAGCTACCAGATCTTTTCTACGAGACCACTGTTTCATCTGGACTGCTACCACCACCCTAACTACAGAGTATCAGGTTGTATTCTGACTCTGTGGTTTTCCTTTGTATTATTGCTTTTATTTTTTTTTTTTTCTTATTAAATTGTATTTCTGACTCAGAGTCTCTCCCTGGTTTGTTTTCAAACCATTACAAGCACTGATTTAGTTCCTTCTCCTTCACTTCCTGCATAAAAATATCCTCCCACTCCAATACAATATACCTCTAAATTCCACAAGCAGCATGGCTTTTTGCACATCATGAATTGGTTTTAGGCCTTCAAAACATGGATTACCTACAAAACCCTTAAAGTTTGGTGTGGTTTTTTTTTGTTTGTTTTTGTTTGGGGTTTTTTTGGTTTTTTTTTTTGGTTTTTGTTTTGTTTTGTTTTTAATATATGGCACAAGAAACATATCAACAAACCTTGTAGCTCTTCTGGTTTGGCAGAACTAATAAAAGAACTACTAAATGTCAAAAAAAAAAAATTAACTCCCTCTTACAGATGGCCAAGCCATCAGAAAGATACTGCACTTACTGTCAGCTGTTTTTAAAAAAGTAGTTATAACAAAGTTTGTTTTTAAAAGACATTTGGAAATCTCATCAAGTAAATGATGATTCAAATGTGCAATTCATCTGAAGGCAAGCAATTTATTCAGATTAAGTACTGGGGTTATAATCAGATTGTCTTCAAGAGTAAGATTCTAGAAATTTTTTTTTTTCCACATAATTGCTACTGCTGCACAACACATCCTTATTCCTCCCTCATCCCAGAACAGTTATGTTTCTTGAACATGACATGTCCAGCTTTCTCTTGAACTCAATTCTGCTGTTTTAGAACAAATTTCTTCTTCTCCTGGACCAAAAAAAGAGCCAACTTTACAACTGTAGATGCCCTAACATAACTGTCACTGAAAGAATGTGACAAGATGCAGCCAAAACATACCTAAGAGAAGACCCCCAAAACTCCAGAGGTTTTCTGTCCATATGTGTATTTGTGGGCCTGATGCAGAAATTAGGAATAAAATAAAAATTAAGAATAAAAACTTTATTCTGGAAAAGAAGGAAAACTGGGACAGACAACAGTAAAACAAATTGCATAGTTGTTTTACACCTTGGTTCCCAAAATTTAAATTCTGAAGTGAATCTCTTAAATTATTTAACTTGGACAGCACAGGCTGTTTTTCCTGTATTTCCAGCAGTGATGCCTGCATTCAGCCTCGTAAACTTTTTTTACTGAAATATCGTGCATCTGGCTAATTTACAGCTTTCAGATGACAGGTAATGTTGATTTGGATACACTACGAGACAGAAAATTCCCCATTCCAATGATAATGCAACCATGAGAATAAAATTGTCCAGGATAAAAAGTGATTTATGATTTGAATTTGTTGCTCAACTTCCTGCCACTACTTGTTCCTTTATTTTTCCCACTAAGCAACCTTCCTAGGTATCATTCTTCCCAAAATGAGTATCTAAACTGTACTGGAATCACCCAGGGTTTTTTCTGCTCACAGGGAACAAAGAGAAACTCTGCTCTTCACTAACCAGCATTTTCTCTAGTCCTCTTAACTTGCCATATTCTTTTCATTTTCTGACTTTTTAAAAACAGTGTCATCAGTAAGTCTTGATCTCTTGGCAAACAGCTCTCTATAAAGAAAAATCTCAGCTTCTCAGAAACAAGGGTGGTTTTTGCTCCCCCCCCCCTCAGGCTGCCCTGAGGGACAATTTCACAACAAGCCAAGTCAATCTAACTGCAGCCTGCATCAACAAAGGCAGTTCACTTCCCTCTATTATTCCCCTTCCTCTTTCCCCTCTCACCTCACAGTTGTTCAGTTCAGCCAATCAATCCTTCAAAAGAGTGATTATTTTTCTGTCACTTTGGCTTCCTGAACCAGCCCTCCACGAGTCAACCAGTGCTGCACAAGGAAGCAGTGGGAGCACACAGGAAAAAGTCAGACCACTGGTTTTGGCAACAGCGCGTAGCTAGATTAGCTCCATTATTTTGCAAAAACTGCATCTTCAGATACTCACCTACTTGATTGATTTTTTTGTTTTTCAGTTTGGTTTTGTCTGGGTTAATTCACAGATGAATGGACAGAGCTGCCCGAGTAACCCAAGTGAACGACTACGATAACCCTACATCATTATTTACCAACTACTACAGATATCAGAAGCATTTTACATAACATGTTACATTTCTTTATTCATTAACCACAATGGTAAACAGCATCAGGCCTAATACAGGTTGCCATAAAACTCCTCAAAAACATCATTTTGTTGAAGATTCCCATTCACTAGTGATCAGGAAACCCCTCAGTCTTTTAAATCCTGCTTTTAAAGTCTGAACATTAGCTTTTTATCACAGTCACATGCAATATTCTATCAAGTCAGTTACAAAAGTTCATCTATTGAATTGGAGTGCATACAAAGTACAGGGCAAGAGAGATTTGTTAAGTAAGCAAGAATTGTACACCCCAAAAAAAAAATCAGTGGAGTATCCTGAACTCACACAGCGTCAGTGCGGGACTGTTAAATATCCAGAGATGGCACAAACACTACATTTAGGGACTACTGTGGAAGAGAAAGTGTAGCAAGCTGAGCTGCAAATTTGCCTGGGCTCTCCTGGCTGCTCTGGACCTTACACATTGCTTCGCTCCTCCGGTGGTGGGAGCCTGCACACCTCAAGGAGCTAGCACAGCAAAGCACAAGACCCTCTATTTGTAAAAGGAACGAAACTAACATGGTCACCCTTCTTTTCAGTGTTTTCAAAGGAGAAAACAATATACTCTTGAACTATCTATCTCTACCAATCTCAGAAAAAGAGGGAAATCTTGACAACTCATCTTCCATAAATTCATGTTCAGTTGTATTTCTGTCCTTGAATGCTTAACCAGCTTTTCCACCATTTGCCTGTGACTGATACTATGCCCATCAGCAGTTAAACAGCTCATTGTTCAAGTACAAACCATTTTAATATTTATGGAAGTTTTCCAAGTATTTCCAGTTTTACTAAAAAAAAAAAAAGGCATCAGAGCTCGAGATCTTCTCAGGATTTCTTTGTTTTAGGGTGAGATTTAAGATCGTGATAACTCACATAGCAGACTCAACTGATTTAGTATGTTAATCTATTGCAGATGATACTTTTATCTGGCTTAGTCACTGAAGAGTGTATCACCATGACTGCCCTCAAATAAGCATATTTACATACAATCTTCTAGAAAACACAATTGACAGCATCCCTTCCATTCTCTCCAAGGGGCCAATACCACTATCAATCTCCCTTAGTCCTTGAAAAAAGAAGCCCATTTCTTACACTTCATTTGCAGTTTTTCCATCTATTATATATGCCAATTGAAACAGTCTTTTTGACACTGAATTCAGATTGGGCTCTGCTGACTCATTTGAGAACCATGACTTTTTGGCTGTCAAGTGCTCATGATAAATGACAATTTTCATTTAAACTTACTTCTTCCAGTTTTTATTCAACACTGAAATTACAGCTCTTTTGAAATACCAAGCTACACATACACTTGGCTTGCAACGTCCTTTGTTCGACCACAATGCATGCCCAATACAGAAACACTGGTCCTATTCTAGCAATTATTGATTTCCTTTCTTACAGTTAGTCCTATTCTGGCTGTATAAGATCTCAAATGCAGTTATCTCAGAAAGGAGCAAAGAGTTTGGTTTTGTTTTTTTTTTTTTAAAAAAAAAATTATCACAATCAGGTGATAATTACCTAAACCTGACCTGCACATGATACTTCCAGCACACCTCCCAAGCTGAATTCATCTACAAACATGTTTTTTCTTTCTGTGTTACAGAATAATCAATGCATTCACTCTGTCCTGTTTTTTTCAGACTTTGTAGCTCTGCTTTACCAGTAACAGAACAAGGGAATTGTACCATTGAATTTACTCCAACAAGTTTCAGTATCCACCAAATCTTCTCAAAGAATTTTCAGCTACGCTTGTTATTTTGACAACAAGGCACTGATTTTAAGTGCATAACATACAGATGCACAAAGAGCAATGAAAAAGTTTCTTCGCACATTCTTTCTAGAGATGTAATGGCATCCAGGCTATTGCAAAAGAAGGGGCAAATGAGCACATCCGAAACTAAACCCTTTTTTCTGAAGTGTCACCTACTGTAAGGGACTGGATCATCAAAAGTTTTGTTTTGCTACAGGTCTCACAAACATTAAGCTACTCAGTTACTTTACATCAGCCTGCCCTTATATCCTCAATCCAAACGGCCTACTGTGAGAGGAAAAAAGTATTCATGTATAATTTGCATCAACTTCTATGCTCCTGGAAATCTCTCTCCTCAAAGCAGAAAGCTCCACAAACAGCAAGTTTCTTCTTAATTCTTAACTGGTTCTTAATTAGTTCTTCCTAATTAAGAAGAACCAATTCTTCAGATTCTGTCTTTTACACAGAAAGTGTTCTTTTCTCAGAATGGGAAGTCTTACCTGTTGGGTTTTCCTAAACTCTTCAAGTAGTTTTAAGGCCATATCATAATCTTTTAGTAAGTGGTATGCAATGGCATATCCAATCCAGGAAGCCCGCTGAGTGGGGCGCAGCTGAAGTAGCTGGTATCTTGTCTCCTGCAGTAAAAGAAAGGCAATTTAAAAGTAACAGAGATATTAAAAAAAAAAAGTTACTACATCTTTATCACTATTTACCACTTCTAAAATATCTTTTAAAAGCCCTAGACAATTTTTGCAATTGCAAAAGCATGGGGAAAAGCAGCATGTTTCTGGCTCTTAAATCTGGGGTCTATATTCTAAATATAGGAGTGCTGTGGTTTAGCCCTTGGCAGCAACTATGCAACATGTGGCTGATTGCTCTCCCCTCCTCCCCTCACCCCCTGGTTGGGATGGGGAGCCAAACTGGAAGAAAAAGGTAAAATCTCACAGGTTGAGATAAGGACAGTTTAATAGGATAACACAAGGAGTGAATAAGTAGTGACAATACTACTAATAAAAGAACGTATAGAGCAAGCAAAGTATAATACAATTGCTCAGCACCCAGAACCCAATGCTCAGCCTGTTTCTGAGCCCAAATCCCTCCTCATCCCCAGCAGCTCCCCCAGTTATATACTGAGCATGGGTCAGCTGTCCTGGCTGTGCCCTTTCCCAGCTTGTTGTGAAATTAACTCTAGCCCAACCAAACACCTGACAAGGAGTCAAGGCACAAAGCATAAAATCAATCTGCTGGGACACAAAAGGTGTAATTTTCAAGAGTACCCTTTAAGTGCCCAAATCATTTCCAAACAGAGCTTTGCAATCTGAGAGAGGGGTTTCCGTTAGAACGCATGAGCTCACTGTCACTGAACAAGCAGCATCTTGTCATGCCCAGGAAAAAAGTCCACATAATGCTGCAGTGCTTCTCAGATCCCTTCCTGAGCCAAACCATATCTCTGTCAGTTATTCCCTTTTCTTGCATTTGCAAATTCAGCATCCTCAGTGAGGGAGACTAAAGCCAAAGCCCACAATCCAGTCCTCTATTTCACCTGAATTACAAGGATGCATGAGGAGTAAAATTTCTCCCTTTGACAGCCAAATCAGTTCAGCCATTTTGAAACAACTAACTTTGGTTTTAGGCTAACTTTAAAGTTTTATTTATGATAAAATCAGTATTGGGATTCACAAAATCAGTCATCATGGGGCAAGTCTCCCCAATATACTCAGAAGAAACAGGACAGTTTATTTCTCACAAAAAACACCTTCAGTATATGCACCCAAAACACCATTTGCAGTACTTCACAAGAGCAAAGTGCTCCTACTTGGTAAGCTTTAAGTCTTACCATTTTCATTTTTAGTGAAAAATGAGTTAAGAACTAGAGCTTTACAAGTTGATCCGTAAGTACAGAATAACTGTACTTCTAGTTCTGTACTCAACATTACATGGAGTTTGCTGCAATGTTTTCATGTTCTTCTAAACAAGATCCTGAAACACTCTTAAAACAGCAAAACAAAGCAACAGCAGAATTACTGACAATGAAAGACTTGATAATGGAATAACAAGAGAATGCTAAGAGAAATAAATGAGAATTCAAAGAGAATACTTACTCTATATCCTTCTAAATCCCTCATCTGAATCTGCAACAGAGAGAGATCTCTCAGGATCTGCAGATTATCTTTATCTAGCTTGAGTGCATTCCGGTAACACTTGATGGCTTCATCGTATTTCTTATCAGAACGCTGCAAAAGACCATAGACGTGCCAACCTGGGGGACGTTAAGGAAATACATTCACAGTTCTCAGAAATCTTCAGAAAGTAACTGTGGTATATTCATCTTACACACCAAACTAATTTCCTTGAGGATCAGCACCCATATAAATTAAATTTGGTTACAGCAACCAGATTTACAGATACCTTTTAAACACTTCCAAATAATATAAGTCTTGTTTATAAATGTTCATAACCCCCTAAAATGCTATTATACAAACTAAATTGTTCAAATTGCACAAGACCCAAAAGAGTTATGCCTAGAGATGTCTTGTTTAAAACATGCTGCTGTAATTACATTAGGGATTCATACTACTACAAGTGTCTCACTCCCACAATACAATTGGTGTAAAAGTTTTAGTTTTCCTCTCTTGCCTATCTGTAGCTTCAATTAGTCCCCAGGTTTTACAGCTAAGGGATAAAAACAGAGCCTCAGTTTATTCACTGACAAGAGGAAATCTTTGTGGTTCCATGCATTTAAAGTCTTTGTCACATTCTCAGCATCTCAGATGTCCATCAGCAGTGTGGCATTCAACAGACATTTCACAAGCATTCTTTTTTGTCCTAGAAAGATTACCAATTCAAAGCATGAAGCCAGCATATGTCACAGTAAGGTATTACACTGTGTGTTTACATCAGTCTCCAAAAGAGACTTTTTTTTGTATTAAAAAGGATTACTTGCCATCATCTCCCTTTTGCTACTCTAGGTTCCTAGTAGCAACTGAGGCAACATCTTCCACAGCTAGATCTGAACTTTGATTTTCACGTTAGAGGACATTTTAGATTCTCACCTATAGCAAGGCAATTCAGTCCCACTGACTTTATGTGCACTGTAACAGTGTAAACTCATAGGATGCCTTGAGTAATTTATCAGGCATCATTACCATTCCTGGATTCAGCTAGTAATCTGGCTTAATCTTTCATAAATCATATTCCGCATCAAGTAATCAAGTAAATAAAAGCATAACCCATTCAGAAATAAGTGTGTACAGTAGCCAAGACTAAGCATAAGGAATTTTAATAGCTGATACCAGCCTTTAAAGCACAGGCCAACAATTTATTGCAGTAGGCAGCTCTAGGCAGTCTTGCACATGTTCCTACAGTGTCCTGAGTATAACAGTCCACTACCTGAAACACTTATTCTCAAGGTAAGTGTAGGTCTCTGTCCAGATCATTGCTCAATTTACATCCAAATATGAATTGTCAGAATTGTCTGCAGTTTGTCTAGATTTCTAAACAAGTTTACAATGTCCGTTTTTCCCCCCCAAAACTTAATATGGGCAACTACAAAAGAATTAAAATCTACTTCTCCTTAAACATGTCAGAACACTGAAAGAACCACTTACATTTTAAACATCCTCTACCAGTTGCTTTCTAAAAAGCACCGATGGAAAAAATACACCAAAAGCACCTTCAAATCTTACCACAAGGAAATAAGAACACAGATGTACTACCCCTTCTCAAGACCAGCTACTGGAGCAAGGTCACTTTAGTGGCTATCCCCCTGCCTCTCTCTTTAAACCAAATGACAGATGTGAAGATCACATAAAATGGGAAAGGTAAACTTTTAGAGAACATCCTAAGCTTTGTTTCACTAGCACAATCAACAGCCCTTCAAGCTTTCATCAGAACTTCATGGTTAGCCAAAAGATTTTGCAAAAGACATTAGAAGGAACCATTACTAAAGAGCTCAGCCTCAAATCTCAGTTAGATATGAGCTGAAATATATACTCTAGTCTTCACCCTCCCCATATACTAGAGCCCCACTATCAGGAAAGATTGAGATATTTGTGTGGTGACATCATGACAGCACATGAAGTGCTCTTAAACTGTGGCAGCAGTATGAGAGACTTGCTTTTCCTACAGAATTTACAAACAGATGACAACTGAAAGTACTGTGACAAACCTGATGCTTAGTCTGGAATTAATTCAGTATCAGCTAGCTTGTGCTCACTGGAGAAGTAATTCTGCATAGACAGACTACTCTAGGGGATTCTCTGTAAAGCTGTAACAATGTATTTGAGTGCGTGAAGTTGGAGCTTCTTGCTTTATCAGTTAGTTCTGTGGATGCTGCTTAAAAAAGAAACCCACATTTGTACCTAGTAAGATTCAGATGAATTCACACTTTCTCCAAATTAAAAAAAAAAAAAAAGTCTTGTAGTCTTCTTAGGGTAAGTTTAATGAGTCAGTAAAACTGATGAAAATCCACTAAGACTTAACCAAAAAAAAAAAAATTTACTTTTTTAAACTTGTCCAGGAAGATGGACACCCCTACCTCAAAAATTAGATCTGAAGAAGCACAGATCCCTCCAGCACCTGCAGGGAAGTCTTCTAGACAGTTTTAAGAGCCAGTATGAATTGCAGATAATTAGTGATGTTGATAAATCCCACCCTGAAAATTTGTTTGGGAATCAGAATCCCTATCCCTCAAATCTCTCCACTAACTTGCCCAGATTCTTTTGCTCCTTGATTTAAGGTGTTAGATTTTTTACACGTATATTAAAGTTGCTTTGGTATTCCTTGGGTGTTCAGCTTTTAAGATCAAGAAGGTACAAATTATCTTTGATTGCTCTATGACATGCCTCAAGCTCCCTGGATGTTTAATATAGGAATAGAGTAAACAGTCATCTCTTTGTCTTCAACAGATGATTATTAGCAAGTGGTTGCTGTGATACTACAGGATGATTTTTTTTTTAATGTTAAAAACTTAAATGTTTAATGGAAGATTTGCCCCTTTAACAGACAACTCAAAAGCATGGAGAGCAAGTAAGGCATTCTGTGTAAATCCAGAGGAGCTTCCTACCTGTGCCTTAAAACAGACAGCTACTCCCAAACCTCTTGGGTAGCTGTTAAGTATTTCACTTTGGGAAGGCAAACATTGAACAGAGTAGCACTCACCAAGTCAGTAAACCTAAACCATGATCTAAAATTCAGTGTCAAAATAGGTAGAGCACCTCTGTACTGGATTCCTTATACCTTTTTAAGAGAGCAGAAAATTTTAGAGAAGACCACATTTTGCAAGATGTGCCTACTCTCTGCAGAGAGTAAATATTACAGAGGGTCTTTTCCTAAGACATAAAAGGCATTTTTCTTAACGATACTGCAAAATCACAGACAGGAAAATAAAACCTCATTTCAAAGATTTGATTAGCAATTAAGACTCAACGTGCACATGTTATTTTAGACTTTTGCTATGTATTTAGTTGAAAAGTACACACTGATGCAGCAACAAAAATCACACAGACACCGAAGTGAGAACACATGGCAAGAAGACCAAGTTTTATATAACAAAGGATACAGACATGACTCTTTACATCATTTCGAAGCCCTTTACGAACAAATTCGTATGCTTCTTCTTTCTTCCCCAAGCAGTTCAAGGTCAGGCCTTTCATCGCGAGCGTCTCTGTAAGAAATATCACACACTTATGTTTCTGACTTCCCATACGCCAGTTTCATGATGCAGATTCCTTTGAAGTTCTTGCACACTCAAGTTCCCTATTAAATGACAAATTTAGAGCAGGACAGCAGCCTAGCACAGCTGAAGGCTGTTATATGGAAGCATTTGGCTTCTTGAAATTTGTCTTAAAAAGATCACTGCAAAACATCATACAGATGTGATGAACAGACAACACAAACTTTATTCATTTTTAAAAGACATCTGACTGGCTTTAAGGGAGTTAACAGTAAGCTAAAGCAATTTTACAGAGCTTCTCAATTTTGTTAAAGTCCCAGGTAGGCAGAAAAAGAAAAGAAAATTCATTAGGTTGTGTCCTAACACAAGAAACAGATCTGTCACAATCAGCTGCACTATTACAGGTTGCTCATAAAGCACTAGTTATGAGAAGCATACCTCCTGCTACAGTATTCTGTGGGTAAAAGACCTTCTCGAACAGCTGCATTTTTAATCAACATTCTGAAAGGCACAAGATTCCAAATAATACATTGGTATGACTATTGTTCCTCCTCATTCCTCAGTCCAGCAGGAA